TTATTATTATTATTATTATTATTATTATTATTATTATTATTATTATTTTCCAGCATAAGATTTCATGGATCAGAGTCAATGTGGACAGAAGAAGAAACCAATGATGTTAGAGGGAGACTGAGTATAGGTAGTTAAAGAATGATCAGAATTCAAGTTTTTATGATTTCATGAGACATGTCTGGAAATAAATGCAGAGATTGGAAGAAAAACTTCAAAAAAATCCATCATTGTTTGCACCTGGATTCAACATTTTTAAGTTGGCAGTGCAGTACCCCTTCAACCACTACCCTCTATTGAAAATATCAAAGAGGAAATGTATATGAAGATGCCTGTGTCTTGTTCTCAATTTGCACACAACAAACAGAAACGTAATCTACCTGCTACTTTTTAATGTGTACATAAAAAAGGATGGGGGTGCCATACTGATTTTTTTATGCCTCCCCGGAACCCTTGTTTTCTCTTCTTATATTGTTCTCTCACACACCTTAAGATGTTAGCATGTAGCAAGTTATGTATGATGTCTTAAAAGACATGGCAGTGCTCTAAAGCAGCCCATAGATGGCATAGCATCTACAGTTCCAGATAAGGTTGCTTTTCAACAGAGGTGCAGTGTTTTTTTGTTTTTTTTTCCTGGCTGATTAGATCTGCTGGAAAAGAACTGTATTCCCGGAACTTCTAAACCACAAAAGCATTTGACTTAAAAGGAGGGAGGGAGGATTGTGGACCATAGAAAAAAAGATACTGAAGATAGCTCCCCAAAAGGGGAATGTATTTATAATCATATGTGTAGCCATTTTTTAAAGTCTCATTTTGCATTCCTTTAGCTTTCTGGTTATCACTATAAATATTTAGATTTGGTAATTCAATTACGGAAGAGGAGAAAGTCCAGCCCACATTTCAAACTTGGCCAACCCTTGTTGACAAAGGGATATCCTGGTCTACTATACTGCTTTTTGTCAGCTGGCCTCCTTTGAAATGCTCTTCTTTCCAAGATTTCTCTGCGTGGACCCCCAGTGATGTGTTATACATCTTCTATCTCAGCATTATTTTAATCAGATATTATTTCCGTGATGGACAATTCCCCAAAACCTCTAAAGGTGAGTTCTTGTTCTGTTCTTTCAAATCTCAATGGCTTTGAAGTTGATACAAGTGGAAATTCTTTGAGTTTTTCAAAGACTTTACAATCTTTGTTACAACAATAACTTGGAAGATAATGCTGAAGAATAAATTTGTTGTTTAGGGAAAACTGTTATTATACAACAAAATGCATACAATTATTAAAATGTGTGCTGATATGCAATCTTTCTTCTTAATGGGTTTTAAAATTTACTGCTGATAGTCAAGTATTGTTTTGAAACAAGCTGAATGTACCTGAAGGGTGGATTTAGAGATGAAGAACAAAGCATGCTTCATTTTCTCATTTTCTTTGGCCTTCAATCATAAGGAAAGTTGACTGGAATCTTGATGGGTAGAAACAAAGTAAACAATATTAATCATAAGGACACTATTTGGCTTATGAATATCCTGATAATCCTTTGGCATAAGCCTTTTCAACATTGTAACTATGTGCAAAGAACAGAACATACTCGTGATTTTTGTGTGAAAAATGAGAGAGCAATGGAAGTTTTATGTATATGTGTGTGCGTGTGTGTTGATTTACCAGCCCATCTGGAGTGAAAAGTAAAAGTACAGGTAGCCAACAAACCCTCACTATTTTCAAGCATTAATATACATAGTATTATACCAAATCAATGCCTCAATAATAAATCTGATTTTTGGTTCACATTAAAATGGGTAATTTCATCTTTTAACGTTCATGACAGTTGATGATATTATTATACTAAATGTCCCAACTTATTTCAAAGGACTACTTCTTTGTCAGAGGATTGAAAGAACAAATGTTGTGCCATGTATTACAACACATGAAAGCAGTCTCAAGTACACATAAAACGTATCTCCAGGAACAACACCAGAAGTGGTATTCAGTAGGTTCTGACCAGTTCTGGAGAACCGGTATTGAAAATTTTGAGTAATTCGGAAAACTGGCAAATACCACCTCTAACTGGAGATTTTACAGTATCCTTCCCCTGCCACGTCCACCAAGCCATGCCCACAGAATCAGTAGTAAAAATTTTTGAATCTCACCACTGAACAACGCATATAAGCACACTATAAAAGAATGGGGGGAAACAGCATGGTCATGGCAATTGATTAATGTTGACTGAACAACCTTTTCTTGTTGCTCAAACGTTCTCAACGCAATATTCATAAAATTTAAATCAGATTTTCCTCACTTGTTTCCGAGGTTTTAGTTAATTTTAGAAGCCTTCAAATGAAACCTTCAAAGTTGAACAAGTTTGTTTTTATTCTGGGAGGTCCTTGGTGCTCTCTGAGCTTGGTTGCTTTTTTCTTTCGTTTTGGCTGACATTACATTATCTATCTAGGACATATGATGATACCATTGATGATGTTACCTAGTTTGGTAATGAAATATCTACAGAAAAACAACCAAGACCAGAGAGCCCTAAGGACCCCACAGTTCAACTCTGAGCTACAAATATTATGTTTTTATTCTATTTTTAGAAGGAGAAATACAAATTGTCATCTTTTCCTAAAATTGTTTTGGCTGAGTTGATTTTCGTTTTGATGAACAGGAAGGAACAGTGAATGATGGAAGGGAACTGGGAGATGATACTCTAAAGGAAAATAAATCTCCTAGAAAGATTATTTATTTTGCAAATGGTGAAACACTGGAAGAATGCAGTTCAGAAGATGATGTTGAGGAGGACAATCAGAAGCCATTACTTGACACTGTAAGTTTATGATGGCTATCATCATCATCATCTATTTTATGACTGCTGGTACATGAGGGCAACCAATGGATCCTCTTTTTTTTTTTTACCACTGAAAGTCAACAGCAACACAATGGCTGATCATGCCATGGAAAATAAGCTTTTCCTGCAATCTGGGGTTTGTTACTGTCATTTGAAGAAGTTAGTTTTTTATGCGTGCTATAGAAAGGAAAGAAAGAAAATGTTGTGGCCTGTCGGCCGCTGGTCTCTCCAGCAGCCAAATCAGATGAGGAGGAGGCATAGGAGTCAGGATCAGCATCAAGGCAACCTGAGGAAGAGGGAATGGAGCTGTCAGAGAGAGAGAGAGACAGAGGCAGAGCCTGGGGCATCTGTCAGCCCTCAGATGGAGAGTCAACAGCCTCCAGGTCTGGAGGTGGTTGATGAGGAAGAGGAGGAACACCTGGGTCCAGTGCCTGACAGGCGGATGCACAGAAGGCAGAGGAGAGGGAGAGCAGGGGAAATCTGTGGGCCGATCCTTGGGACAGAAGAGCCACTGCTGCTAGCGAAGCCCCACACTAGCTCTGGGGATAAAGGGTAGGGGGCAGAGATGAATAGATGTGGCAGACAACTATCTATCTCCCTGCCAGACAGACTTATTAGCAGGGGTGGGATTCTACCAGTTCGCCCCCATTCTCTAGAACCGGTTGTTAACATTCTAAGCAGTTCAGAGAACTGGTTGTTAGAAGAAATTACTGGCCTAAATCCTGTAAGGAAGGCAGGAAGGAAACATTCTGGTGTTGCTTACAGAAACTGCCTCTCCGTTAACCCTTATTACATTCTTGGCAGGACTAGACTTTCTGTCTCAGGAACCTCTCTGGAGTTTTTTCCCCCTCCTTTGCTGGTACTTTGCTTGTGTGGAGTGACCATTCAAAGTTACAATGGCACTGAAAAAAGTGACTTATGACCGTTTTTCACACTTACGACTGTTGCAGCATCCCCAGTCATGAGAGGCCAGGGGAGGAGATGCGTGCCTCGATGTGAGTGATATTCAGTTGGCCACGCCCAGCCAATAACATGACCATCAAGCCATGTCCATCCAGTCACATGACCACCAAGCCACAGCCACCACCTAAGCCACGCCCACAGAACCAGTTGTTAAAAATTTGAATCCCAAACTTTTTGCTGGGTCTGCTGGAGCTCCTAATAAAGGAATCATTGATTTAACTTCAGAAGGTTTGTTGTGTTCGGGGAGCTGGGTCAGAACAGAAAAGAAAGGAGCAGACCAGCCTCAGTGACACAAATGCAAAGACTTTTTAATGAAGTAAGTGATATGAACTTCAGAAATATTTTAGAATCACATTGTTGACCTTTCAGATGTTGCTTCTAATATGTGTGTGTTGTGGGGGAACCTGTATGCAAAATATATCTTGTCTGCAAAAATCTTTATGTCTTCCTGATGGATTTCTTGGCTGCTGATAAAGGTTATATATTTTACTCGTGTAATATTAAATATTAATTCCTAGCCTTGATTGTTTTATTTTGTCCCTGCTTACCTTCTATTACAAGCTCTATTATTTCATAGCCATTCTATTTCATGGGTACAAGGAGGCTATTGTTTATTCATGAAAAAGGACAAAAAGGGAAAATAAGATAGAGAAATAATTTTGGTGGGGGGCAGGGAGAGAATTGCCCTATTACTATTACATTTCATTTGGGACTTTTTTCTCAGAAAAGTGATGCTTTTCTTTATATAAGTAAGAATGAAATTTCAGCAAAAGTGACTACTTGATTGTAGTTTTGGTACAGCAATAACTTCCTCTTTCTCTTTTTGCAACTGAAACCTATGATCTTGCTCTGAAATGCACCCACATGGTATGATTGCTTTGTAGCAGCTGCAGATGAGCCTCTGTATTGTTACCAACAGACCTCTGGCTTTATTCATAGGCTAATCTCTCTTGGGGTAATTATCTACGAAGCTGGGCACTTCAAATTGTAGCCACAGCATTTTTTGGTAAGTATATTGGATGGGGGGAGCAGCTAAGTGTAATACCATTCTTACTAGTAAGATAAGAATGTTTAGTGCATCAGCAATTCCTGAGAAAACCTATGTTCTTACACCTTTATCAAGAAATTAATAATGGATTGTGCCTCAGCCACAGAATTTATTTTCTTCTTCCAACAATCAGAAAATAAATTGCATGTGAAAAGGAAGAATTTGTGGACTAATACTGGCCACTATCTACTAATAGATGCTTTGATTGTACTCATACTCCACGTATACACTTGCATATCTGCACACACACACACAAAAATCTATGACTTGTTCAAACTACTTTTTTTTCAATATCTTTATAGCTTGTGAATTTCTTGGTGGGAAATTTGTCACATTCCTTGGACTCAATGAACCTAAATACCAGTATGCAGTAGATGAATACTACAGGACACAAAATAAGGTAAATATAACAAATGCAATGTAAAGGCCTTAAGCAATTTGTTGGCCACCATGATTTGGGGATTAAATTTTAAGTTTTGTTACACCCAAACCATGAAGTACTGGGGCTTCCAAAGTCCTGGAATGAAACAGAAAGAATGATGTAATGAATATTAATTTTAGCTCTATTAAGAAGCTGACCCACCTAAATAAGTTTAATGCTTGAGATAAAAATAAACTCCAACAATTGTCTCCATGTGAAAGGCTATCAGTTACTGCTTTAGCAACATACACAATCTGTTCTGAGTGGTGTATATAAGCTTTGCTTCAAAGTAAAGTAAGACTCATGGAAGTGGTATTAAGCTATATACAAATGTACTTAAATGTTGGGCATTTCCCCAAAATTATTATTTGGGTTTGTTTTTCCATGTTGTGCCATGCATTTATGTAGTGGTTGTTTTGTTTCCCCAATGTACAGATCTGTACAGGTCTCACAGCATTGCACAGCATATACCACATTGCTCAGTTTGTGTCTGGGTATTTTATCCTTGAAATGAACAAGCTCCTGCCTTAAAGTATTCTTGGGTTTAAAGTTAAACTGTCCACATTCCGGACAGAGTGGATCATTGATTTGAAAGAGGGCTCAAAGAGGCTGTCTATGTTAAAACTGAACAGCCTTCTTTCAACAGAGATAGAGGGATATGACACCACCGACCTCCTGTCTAAAACACTGTCCTTTCAACCGTCCCAAGAAGGTTCCAGACTCATTTGCACTCTGATTCAAGTGACCCTAAGGATACAGATAAACCCTCCAAGTGGCCTCAATGACTTTCAGAGAACTAACAACCAATCTTCAGAATGCTAATGATCAGATGACTGCCAGCAATATAAATCCTTCCATTCCCCATCATTTCAGTCAGAGCTGAAGAAGTTTCTTTGATAAGAAGTGAAACGTTTTTAAGGAATTCCCTCGCCACAGAAAGTCCAGTTGCCTTTTGAAAAAAGCACCTTTGAGACAACCATGACCTGGATGATTCAGAATCTCCATAAACAAATGGATCATAAAAGGGGAGGGAGGGTCATTCTAGCTGTCTGTATAGAAAAATCAGAGAAAACAAATGAGAGGCTTTGCCCTAAATTGCTAATATAGAGGTGTTTCATTTTAAAAATAGATTATTTGCTAGAATTCTTGTTATCCTATCATCTGTGTAATAAATGTCAGAGCTGTTATATTCTCCTTCTTGGATTAACTATTTCCCAGCCAAGTTTCAAGGAAAAAAGCCTGATATCAATACAACTTTGTGAATATATGCTTCCTGTTGTCTTTAAACTATTCATCAGTCATTGAATTGAACGTTGAGCTTAAATCCTAGGATTGTAGATTTTAAAAGCTTCATGCAGTATTTATACCCATCCGCACCCCCACCAAATGGTGACCATAGGTATCAATATGCATGCAGACATTTTCTTTTATAACTGGGGACTAAGGGATTAAAAGGGACTAACCCACTTAGTCCATCTGAATTTTTATTTGTTTTTTATAATTGTTTGGAAATTCCAGGTATGTCCTTGGCATTGGGAAGGAGGAAACAAGTAAAAAAGAATAGTTTATCTTTTACAATGTATTCAAACATTTATTCCTTTAAGAAATAATTACGAATCAGCTATTTTGCGAATTACTACACAATTATGATTCATGGCCCAGGATGTTGATCCTTATAAACTACTGCACTTATGTAACAACTTCTCATTTAACTTTTGTTTTAATAACTTTCAAAGAATTTAGAGCAAAGTTACTGGTCAGCTTGTAATGTTGAGAAACCTGTTTGCTCTGTAAAGTTGGTATTTTATTGGAGATATTTAAAATCTGATCATGTGGTAGAGTAGCTAGAAGCATATGCCACAAATGCAATTAATGAAGAGTAAACTAAAATCTGGGTGACATATAAGGTTTTTTTTTTTAAAAAAAGTGACTGAGGGTCCTTTGAATATCATAATACATAAACTTTGTTGATGTTAGCAGTAAAACTCAGAAGTAATTGTACAATCAGGCAATAACAATGGCCCTTATTCCACAGATGATAGATAAGGAAAAAAATCATCCTACTGTACCAAGTGGGGCAACATGACATTGATTGTGCTATTTTTTTTATAATCAGAGTAATATATTAATTCTAGTATTCTAATAGAAGATCATTACACACACATACACACTGTAAGATCAATTTGCCATGTAACCATGATAGATGGGTCTATGTTCCAAAAATGTAATAGATGGGATTAAAAAAACCCATATAATTAAGATGACTTATGAAAAATATAGCTTTGACGGAGAACCCTAATACAGACATACCAAAAAATGGGATTGTTTCTATAATGCTTATACAGTGTTATTAATACAACTTCATATGCTTTTGATTCATGCACGGATAACTAGATCAATCCATAGCCTAATTAATGTGGAAAGGACTTGAACCTACTGGAACAGGGTGGACTATGCACTCAAAAAAGTATCAGCATCGAGATTTCTCTCTGCTGCTTCAAAATGAAATCTTGGTGCTGATACTTTTTTGAGTGCATCCAGTCCACTAAGTTCAAAACCTTTCCACATTAATTAGGCTATGGATTGATCTAGTTATCTGTGCATGAATCAAAAGCATGTAAAGTTTCATTTTAAATCAGCATTCTCTAATGAAATACATAACATAAAACCTACAACAGGATCCTATTTAAAAAAAAATCAGAAAAGAAAAGTAATGGGAAGCCCTGTGGTTATCAGTCATTCTTGCTTTCCTCTATCAAAACTTTCTAGAACATATTTTGTTTTTACAATGCATAACTTATTATCTGGGCCGTTTCAGAAAAATGAAAGTGATGAAGATGGTGAGGAGATGCCAAAAATGAAGGAGACAACCACATCAAATGAAAAGTACCACCTGGAAATGAAGCAGCTAAGATACGGGTCTATTAATTGTAAGGATACTCAGAAGGACACTGTTGCAAATGTAAATGAACTTGAAGAAGGTGGGTTGCAAAATTTAAAATAAATCAAAATTATGAGATATAAAATGTGCATGGTTTGGGGCTGGATCAAAATGTCTAATGCTCAGGTACATGTACTGAGAGGTTAAATCAGTCTTCTTGGTTGATTGTTTGGTCTTTATGGATTAAATGGACTGTTTTAGACCATATTATATATCAGCATTACTGCTGTTAATCTTTCTGGACTGTACTTGGCTAAATTTTATTTGGGGTTGTACCACTCAGAGTCATGTCATGGGCTAGGTAGAAATATAAATTCTTTAAATAAACAATCAATAAATAAACCAGTCTTTTAGAAAAAAAATTCAAGAAGAAATACTACAAGAGACTCTGTTGTATATGCTGATACTAAATAACAGTATCAAACAGTGAAACACCTTAACTTTAACAGTCTGTTTATGAATTGAACTGCATTACATCTTCATTGTTATTAATATAAATCTTTCATGGGCATGTCTTGGCAAAGGTGAATTATACATTGAAAAAAAAAGTACTGCAAAACTCCAGTAATGATAGGCAAGATTCCCTGAAAGATTTTGCTGACTGTTGTTCCTAAAGCACACTGTTCTCAAACAAAAGGAATTGTCGTCTAGCATCTGTTCTCATTCCAAAGGGCCAAGTGGATTCTGTGTGAGCTCCATGTATTCCAGAATCAATGCATAGATAGTTCTTGACTTATGGCTGCAATTGGGCCTTGAATTTTGGTTGTAACTCATGACTGTCATAAGTCAAGGCACCCACATAATGGGGATTTATTTTATGACTGTTTTCATGATGCTGTTAAGTGAATCATGCAGTCATAAGTCCAAATGCATGTTCACTAAGCTTTTCTGCCAGAAACTTTCAAAAAACACACCAATTGCTGTCACATGACCATGGAACACTACAACCAGTTGTAAGTCTGAACTAGTTGCCATGCAACCAAAATGCAGTCATGTGACCTTGGGATGTGTGAATGTGTGCAACATTTTATAATGGCCAGAAGTATCTTATGGAGGAGTGATTTCTGATGCTCCTTGGCAGCTTCCCATAAGCAAAGGCAATAAGAAAACTGGCAGGAAGTTGGAAGTCACTCCCGCTCCACTGCTGTGCCCAATTAGCTGGTGGCAAAGTCCAATAGGGGAGTACTGATTGACTGCTTTGGAACAAAGGCTGAAATTTGAAATCAGCAAAGGAAGGATGAGAGTCACAGATCCATGCTGGTGAGGTAGGGTTGGCTGGCCAGCACTGGTGATTGATGGATGAGCCCTCTTCCCTTCTGGAGGGAGGGGGCCTCTCAATGACACACTGGGATGAGGGAAGGGATGTAGTTTTCTTTACAATCCACAGTTCCCTTTCCCAGTTTTGTTCTTTTTACAGCTAAAGATTAGGGCAGCCATTTTCAATCTGCTGACTGACTAGATCAGTTGGACTTTAATTTTTATTATACCCAGCTAAAACAGTCATGCTATCTTGGAATTACAGACTTAGTTACCCAATGTATCAATAAGACAACCAAGATGGGGTAGGCCAGATTACATTTTTGCGAACAAAAAATTATGGTCCTGAAAAATTGTAAAGAAATGCAGAATGTAAATAAGAAAAGCATTCAAATAAACAATATTACCGGATATTTGTGAAAAAAATTACTTTAATAAATACTGTCCATCAATTTTAGTGCAATGATTATTTCTTTTACCTCAAGATGGCACTATATTAAAAGGTCTAGCTGCTAGTGCACAGTACTGTAATGATAAAAAGCAAAGTCAGATACAGCTATACATAAAGGGGCAAATCTCTAAAACGTAGCTTGGGCAATACTTTTGTTAGGATGATCTGAATATCTGGTAGAGCAAGCAGTGTTTTTCAAACTTGGCAACTTTAAGATGGACTTTAACTCCCAGAATTCCCTAGCCAACATGCTCTTTGGGATTCACTATACTCTGGCTTTTCCCCTCTTATTCTTCTAGTAACCCAGGAGTAACTGGATATTTGTTTTATTTTTAAGAGAGGAGGACTAGCATAATGTTATTCTACTATTTTTATAACAAGACGCTTGATTCTCACTAATGCCACTATCACTTATTCCAAGATTTCCCCAAACTTGGATAGCATATAATTCAACCTGAAAATGGATCATTTCTTCTTTTTGCCCTGTGTTAAAAGTATACAGGATGTCTCATCTCAATTATTTTGGTCCTGCAGTTGCCTTCAACTAGTCCAAAGACATGAGCTACAGTAGTCCTCTTTCCTACAGCATGGAGACTGAAGTTATCCAAACTTCAGAAACTCCAACAGTAGCTCCAAAGTGACATTCAGTAGCTCAGGGAAAGATACCACATTGACATATTGTTATCAGCATTATCTCTCAATGGGATATCATTCAAGATGGTTTCATCCCCTGGGGAAGATCTTTTTAGCTTAGAAAGTAATAGCGATTATTCTGTATAAGAAAGAAACTGGTATGTCTGACACTGAAAAACAGTGGAATAGATCTAGACTAGTGGCCAACAGCAGGCAGAGTGATGATGGTGGATGAAGGTATAAAGTAAAGTAGTAGGCTTTTTTTCTGTATTGGGGAATAACTGTCAGGATTGTTTTTGTTTCTAAAATTTGGTAAGTATATGGAGGTAAATGATACAAATCACTAACTTTTGGTAAACATGTCACCAAAATTGGAGAGGTCTACAGGTGCCACAAAAAAAGAAAGAAAGAAAGAAAGAAAGAGAAAGAAAGAAAGAAAGAAAGAAAGAAAGAAAGAAAGAAAGAAAGA